AGGGCCGAAGGTCCTGTTCCTGTGCTGTAATTTTCTTTGTTCTTTGTCCTTTGTTGTAGCTTTGACTCCTTTCCCCTCTAATTAAGGGCAGGCTGAAACTTGAGTGCATTACTAGGGGTGTTTGGATTGCAATACAATTAAACATTGTAAAGACCATGTCCTTTTATTTTTCTGTGCTTCTGACTGTGGGCCGAAATGGGAAATAAAACATAGAAACGAGGCTATTTGACCCCTTGAACCTGCACAAACATTCAATCTGATCATTATTGATCCTCCATCTCAATGACACATTCTTACATTCTCTTCATGCCTTCAAATTCTAAACAAAAAATTATCAATCTCTATTTTGACTCTATTGAGTGACTTTGCCTCCACAGCATTCTCTGGTAGAGAATTCCAAAGGTTTGTTACCCTTTGAAAGAAAAAATCTTTTCTCATCTCATCCGAAATGGTCTACCCCATATCCTGAGACTGTGTCTGGTTACCCGAAAAAGTGTAGTCCTCCGATACCTACACAACAGGAAGATACAACACATCCAGTGGCACTAGTCACCCTACTGTACATTAAGGACAAATCTGAAATGACCACCAGATTACTCCGCCCCCTAGGAATCATTGTAGCCCACAAACCGGCAGCTATGCTATGGCAGCCACTGATGAGAATAAAGGATCCAACATCCACAGCTAACAGAACCAAGGTTATTTACAAGATACTGACACAGGGCAGACCAGAAGGCTTTTCTGATGAAGGGTCTAGGCCCGAAACGTCAGCCTTTCTGCTCCTATGATGCTGCTTGGCTTGCTGTGTTCATCCAGCCCTGCACCTTGTTGTCTCGGATTCTCCAGCATCTGCAGTTCCTACTATCTCTGATGTTATTAGTGTCCTCCACTGTGAAGACTGATACAAAATACCTGTTCAATGCCTCGGCCATTTCATCATATCCCATAACTAAATTCCCCTTCTCATCCTCTAAAGGGCCAACGTTTACTTTAGCTACTCTTTTTCGTTTTATATATTTATAGAAACAAATGCTGACTCTCCCTAATCAGTACTTGTCTCTCGAAACGCACATAGATCCTGTTTCTCAGAATCGCCTCCAAATTTGATCAGGTAAATGTAGAGAAAATACTTGCACTTGTGCAAGAATCCAAAACTAGGAGGCATAAGTATCTCATGTTCATCAATATATCCAATCAGAAGAAGCAGCGAGGGAGGAGATGCATGTTGAGTATCAACATGGACAAAGACCCGTTGGGTCAAATAGCCTGATCCTATGCTGTAAATTCAATTTAATCTGTGCATCTGATGTACAAATGTTCCATCATAATTGATATTGGACAATACACCAATGAGATCCAAGTTCAACCATCTTTAACTGTTCATCAATGACCTTCTCTTCATCATAAGGTCAGTGATGGGGATGTTTACTGGTGACTGCACAATGGCCAGCACAATTCACAATTCTTTAGATACTGAAGTAGCCCCTGTATTGGTACAAGACCTGGACAATATTTCAGCTTGGTCTGAATCATGGCATGTAACATTTGCAGTATACAAATGCCAGGTAATGATTGTATCTAATAAGAGAATCCAAATATCACCCCACGATGTTCAATGGCTATATCATCGCTGAATCACGTACCATCAACATCCTGGGGGTTACCAAGGACCAGAAACTGAAGTGGATCAGCCAAATAAACACTTGCTATGTGAACAAGTCCGGAGCTGGGAATTCTGTGGTGAGTCACTAACCTCCAGACATCCTAAAGGCTATCCACCACTTACAAGACACAATTCAGGAGTGCGATGGAATGCTCCCCATTTGCCTGGTTAAGTGCAGCTCCAACAACAGTGAAGAAGTTGACACCATCCAGAACAAAGTAGCCCACTTGAATGGCAACCTACCAGCCCAAAATCACTCACTAACAATGCATTGTAACAGCAGTGTATAGCATCTACAAGCTGCAGCACAGCAACTCACTGAGGCTCCCTCGACCTTTCAAACCTGCAACGTTTACGAACAAGGGCTGGAGTCACATGTGAGCACCACCACTTACAAGGTCCCATCCAAACAACCCACCATCCTGAATTGGAACTCTATTCCTAGTCCTTCAATGTCATTCATAGAATCCCTACAGTGTGGAAGCAGGTCATTCGACCCATCAAGTCCTCACTGACCATCCGAAGAGCATCCCATCAGACCCACACTAACCCTGTAACCCTGCAATTCCCATGGCTAACCCACCTAGCCTGCACATCCCTGGGCGCTATGGGCAACTTAGTATGGCCAAACCACCTAGCTTTCACATCTTTGGACTGTGGGAGGAAACTGGAACATCGGGAGAAAACCCATGCAAACATGGAGAAGAATATGCAAACTCCACACAGTAGTCCAAGAATGGAATCAAACCCGGGTCCCTGGTGCTGTGAGGCAGCAGTGCTAACCACTGAGCCTCCATACCACCCTATGTTGCTGCATCAAAATCCTGGACCTCCTTCCACGGCATCACAGTGGGAGTATATAAATCACATGGACTACAGTGGTTCAAGAAGGTAGCTCACCACCTTCTCTAGGGCACTTAGGGATGATGAATAAATACTGATCCAGCCGGTGACACCCACATCCTGTGAATCGATAAATAAAAACACAATTTGGCAGGATCTGTTAAATCGAAAGTTATGTTAAACCTCCCCAAAACCCAAATGAGATGCATGTCTCTTTAAAAATTTGATTTTGTGTACATTAGAAACTCTGCATGCCTTCAGCAATTTTATTACCTTTTCCTGCTGCCGTATAGTGTCTTCCAGAATCTTTGATTTGTGCATTTTTTCATGGTATTTGTGTAGCACAGCTAACTGCTGCTGATGGGCTTTCTGTGACCTCAAAAGCTCAGCTTCACGGTCATTTTTCTAGAACAAGCAACAATGATGCAGAGGTCTTAATGAACAAAGATAGTCATGATGCCAGACATTAAAGCTTAGATTAGGAATGTGAGAAGCACACTAGGGGACTAAGGATGAGCAATAAATGCTGGTCCAACAAGGGAATCCCACATCCCATGAATAATTTTTTTTTAAAAATCCAACAAGAGTATTACTTTTTTGTAAGATCAGGGCAGAAAATCAAATGTTCACCATATCTCTCAGATAATACTCTGTCCCAGACTGCCTCTCATTCCCGTTTCACACTATCCTCTCCATTAACATTTCCTCATAACTCATTCCACAAATCTATTTAATTTGTGTTTCTTTTCAATCCTTCAGCACAATGAGCAATATCCCCAGGATCAATTTTGTCTATCCAATTCATAACATTAGAAGTTTCAATTTGATCAGCTTGCAGTGTTCTCTTCTGCACTAAAAAGCAGACACAGCCTCCTTAAAACCTTTCTTGTAAGTTCTTACATTTATCTTTGTTGACCAGCTCCCTTGGCTCTCCAGGATAATGATTATAGCCATTATTCACCAATGAAATCTGGACACAATATTAAATGTCAATATTTCAAAACATATTTGTCAGAGCTGCACCATGCTAAGAATTTGCAGATATTTAATACTTAGTGCCTACCACTCTCCACAAATCAAATTTCATCTGGGTCAATTCTTTATAATATCATAGCCAGTGGTGTGATTGAATCTCTCCATTTGCCAGGATAGGTGCAGCTCTAAGAACACTAAGTTTTAGGTTTACCTAAAAAGGAAGGATACAGTGGCATTGGAGGCATTCCAGAGAAGGTTCACTCGGCTGATCCTGGAGGGACTGACCTATCAAGAGAGGTTGAGTCGGTAGGGCTCGTATGCATTGGAATTTAGAAGAATGAGAGGAGACCTTTACTGAAACATACAAGATTCTGAGGGGGCTTAACAGGGATGTGGAGAGTTTAGGACCAAAGGATATAACCTCAGAATAAGGTGTTGCCCATTTAAGACAGCACTGAGGAGGAATTTATTCTCTCGGAGGACAATGTATCTGTGGAATACTTTACCACAGAGGGCTGTAAAGGTTGGGTGGTTAAGTATATTCAAGGCTGAGGTAAGAGGGATTTTTAATCTGTAAGGGAATCAAGGATTATGGGGAAAATGCAGGAAAGTGGAGTTGAGGACTATCAGATCGGTCATGAATGACAGAGCAGACTGATGGGCTGAATGGCCTGCTTCTGCCACTACATCTTATGGTCTAGCATTCAATAAGCTTGGTATCATCCAGGACAAAGCAGACTTCTTGACAGGCACTCTATTCACATTTTGGCTTCCTTTGCTCCCTTGACCAGTAGCAGCAGTGTGTAGTGTCTACAAGATGCACTGCAGCAGCTCACCAAGGTTCCTCTGCCAGCACCTTCCAAACCTCCCATCTCAACCTCCTGGAAGGAAAAGGGCAGCAGACAGACGGCAACACCACCACCTGTGAGTTCCAGACCCCACACACACCATGCTGACTTGGAATTATAGCTTGGATTTCTGCCAAGTCAAGATGACTGAGGATCCCTTTATAAATGGCGACATGTCCCAACGCTGGGATTCCTGACCTCATTCCCAGAGTTTCCTGATATTTTGGAGTTCCCGTTAAGAGCGCAGACTGGTTTGGGTCACAAGTCCATGCCCTGCTATCCCTAACCTGGCCAGCTCCACTGAGGGGATGGACATGGCCCAGCCCTTCACAATGTTCTTGCAGACAGGCCAGTTTTTCCAAAGAATCATAGAATCCCTACAGTGTGAAAGCAGGCCATTCAGTCCCCACCAACCCTCCAAAGAGCATCCCACCCAGACCCACCTGTAACCCTGCATTTCCCATGGCTAATCTACCTAGCCTACACATCCCTGTACACTATGGGCAATTCAGCATGGCCAATCCACCCTAACCTGTGGATTGTGGGAGGAAAGTGGAGCACCAAGAGGAAACCCACTCAGACACAGGGATAATGTGCAAACTCCACCAGATAGTTGCCTGAGGGTGGGATCAAACCCGGGTCTATGGCGCTGGGAGGCAGCTGCACTGACCACTGAAACACCGTGCTGTCCCAGCTCATGATACTTCAGAGGCATCACAAGTACAGTCTGCATGAGGGAGTTGGCATGTCCAAGGCAACTTATTGAAAGGTAAGTCCTTCCTAGTTCCTCCTTCCAATGCCAGATTATGCCTCTCATCACCCTTTTTGGTATGTCATGGCCTCATGCCAAAGTATGCCCTCCATAATAATCCCTATGGCACCACCACCCCCCCATACCTCCACGCCAAGGTGTGCTCACCAAATCACCCGAGTAATCCCTAAAACCTCTCATACACCCATAACAATCTATAGCACATCAATGCCCATTCACCTACCCAACACACTATACAAGCAATGATTGACAGTAGGATGAGTAATTAAAAATACTTTAAACAATGCTGTTCATTGATAACTTTCTGCCTTATTTTAAAACAAATTGTTTTCACTTCAACCAAGTAAAGAAATATGCCATCCAGACCCTTTAAAGTATCAACTGCTGAAACTTGAAATATCTTAATGCTGTGTTTATGAACATTGAAATGGATTGTGGAGATCAGACAGCCAGAGCTGCCAATCAAGCGGTTTTCCCCGAGTCTCTAGCATTTCAACAGACTAATGGTTTTCTGGTGTCTCTGCCAAACTTCATTCTGTGATTTTGGCAGAAACATCTAAATGCAAGTGTGAGGAGCCATGGGTGGTTGGTGGGAGGGCATCATGTAGAATTGATGAGGCATGGGGAGCATACAGTAGAGGGAAAGGGTTTGTTGGCTGTTGGCAGCAGGATCTTTCCGGTTTTATTCTAACTAATTCTAAGTCCCACAAATCCACAGCGCACCTTTTAAAGAGCCTACAACAGTACTCGGCAGTCCCTGTGACTACCTGCCATTTCTTTCCTCGGTCAACTGGCACAACTGCAGCCCATAACTGCTCCCGGAGAGTAACAACCCGTCCTCTATCCCAAGGTGGGCAGGTGGAACCAGAAATTTCCCGAATTCTCACTAAACACCTCGAGGGTGAAAATTCATATCACGGTTTGGTCATTATCATTGGGTCAAAAGTCTCTTTTCAGCAACACCATGGGTGCCCCTATACCACACAGATTGCAGTGGATTATCGTACCCCACCACCTTCTCAAGGGCAATTACTGTTGGGCAGTGATTGCTGTACATATGACCAAACCCAGAAATGGGCAGCACGGTGGCTCAGTGGTTACCATTGCTGCCTCACAGCGCCAGGGACCCAGGTTCAATTCCAACCTTGGGTGACTGTTTGTGTGGAGTATACACATTCTCCCTGTGTCTGTGTGAGTTTCCTCTCGATGCTCCCAAAATGTGTGGATTGGCCGTGCTATAGTGTCCAGGGATGTGCAGGCTCGGTGGGTTAGCCATGGGAAATAGTGGGCCTGGTGGAATGCTTTTGGGAGGGTTCGGAGGGCTGAATGGCCTACTTCCACACTGTAGGGATCCTACAAAAGCCAGTCTCATGGTCACTGTTGGCATTCAATTCCGAATATTTTCAGTGCATGTCAGACATGGGTAGGGGGCAAAAAGGGAAAACAGCACCAGGAAGTACAGGCACCATCAAAGTATGGATACAAATGGAGTGTACGTGTACGTGTGTGTGTGTGTGAGCTGTTAAATTTTGCAACAGTTTGGATGGAAAGTCTTACTTTGCAAGTGTGCAGGGAAACTCTTTTAGATGAATCACTGGGGCATGCATGTAGCCTTTTCTGCCAATAGCCCAGTGATTGGTGTACAGAGACTCCAATCACCTGGCTGTTTGAATTTAGAAGGAAGTCTGTTGAGCTGGCAAGCACCACTCGCGGCAGCTTTGGGAGGGGTTTGGTGATGCTCCACCTGCAACAATACATCAGACAGGCCAAAACAAATCACCCGCAGTGGGGCCTCATTGATATCAATTCATAATTTGCCTCCACAGAGTTTAATAGGGGAGAAGGTCATCGAGTGGCAATGTGACTGTACTGTTAACCCAGAGGACCAGGATTATGCTCTGTAGACATGGGTTTGGGCCGTAGCATTGCAGCTGGTGGAATTTAAGTTGAAATTAACTTTCAAAAGAATCTGGAAAGCTAGCCTCAGTAATAGTGACCATGACAACTATTAATGATTATGATAAAAACCCATCTAATACATTCATTCAGGGAAGGAAATCCGCCATCCTTACCTGGTCAGGCCTACACATGACTCCAGACCCATGGCAATGGGGTCAATTCTTAACTACCCTCTGAAATGGCCCAGGAAGCCCCTCAGTTGTACCAAAACTGCGATAGTTACGAGACGGATAGCATTGCTCCTAGACGACAGCTCACCACCATACTCTCAAGTACACATAGAGACGGGCAATAAATGCCAGCATAGCCAGTGACACACACACTACCACAAAAAATTATTTCAAAAAGATAATCTGAAGCCCAGTCCCAACGTGGGAAAATTCCCAAGCAGTGGGAAAACATGGATGACGCATTCCAACACAAGCCCCTTAACTCCAAATCTCCACATCGTTACCCTTCCCCCTCCACCCCCAACGCTCAATATGGGGCCAAGAAAGTTCAGTCCATGGTCATTAACCATTCATCTAGATCAGATGTGATCTAAACAAACAGTGCAGCAAGCTTGCGGGGTGAATGAATGGTATGATCTTATTTCCCACATTCCCAATGCAAATGGACACCTACATCATATCAATTGAGTGTCTATGGACGGAAGGTGTTCAAATCATAGCATCCCTATGGTGTGTAAGCAGGCCATTTGGCCCATTGAGCCCACACTGAGCCTCTGAAGGACATCCCTTCTAGATACCATCCCATCCCATCCCTGTAATTCCCCATGGCTAATTCACCTAGCCTGCACTTTGGGAGGAAACTCACATAAAGACAGGGAAAACATGCAAACTCCACATAGACAGTTGGCTGAGGGTGGAATTGAACCCAGGTCCCCAGCACTGAGAGGTAGCTGTGCTAACCACTATGACATTGTGCCACCCGAGTCCCTGGATATGTAGGTGAGGCATCAAGGCAGAGACCTCCCTGGTTTGTCTGGCTTAGTTCTTGGGCAGCATGGGGCCCTTAAAAAGAATATCATCCACACAACATCCTTCCATCCCTCATGACTCACCCGTATCAATTCATTCTGAAGCTGCTGCACTTTGTCTTTGCAATTCAGAAGCTCCGCAGTCTCTGTGGCCAGTTTCTGCCTTAATAAAACTGGAAGCCAAATAAGCAAAGGTACAAATGACAGGAGGTTGAAACAGTTCCATACCCACACAATTTAGATGATCCAGGTTTCTAATAGCCACTAGAACCACTCCCTTTACTAATCCAGCAACAGGGGGACTAAGAACAGTTGTTTACCAAAGAGTTATCACAGGCCTGAAGGACAGATTGTTCTCCTTCTGTAGACAGAAAGTTAAGTACAAAATAAAAACGCCTCCCAGGAAAAGTAGACCCAATATCTGCGACATGATAGAGGTGGGTTCAGCTTAATTTAATAAAATAGGCACAATGCTGTTGAGTTACTCAGTGGATAGCTCTTTAACCTCTGAACAGAAAGCGTGTTTAATATTCTCTCATGGGATGTGGGTGTTGATCAACCAGCTGTGAAAGACTGTTACTGGCATTGTTAGACAGTATAACTGGGTTAGCACAGTGTTTAGCACTGCTGCCTCATAACGCCAGGGGACCTGGGCTCAATTCCACCCTTGGGTAAATATCCATGTGAATTCTGCACATTCTCCCTGTGTCTGCATGGGTTTCATCCGAGTGCTCCTGTTTCCTCCCATGGTCCAAAGATGTGTAGGTCAGACGGATTGGCCATGATAAATATGGGGTTACTGGGATAGGGAAGGCAATGGCCTCATGGTATTATTGCTTGACTATTAATCCAGAAACCAAGCTAATGTTCCAGTTCCAATCCTGCCATGGCAAATGGTGGAATTTAAATTCAACATAAAAAAAAACTGGAATGAAGAGTCTAAAGATGACCACAACCTGTTGATTGTCAGAAAACCCCATCTGATTCACTAATGTCCTTTAGGGAAGGAAACTGTCATCCTTACCTGGTCTGGCCTACATCTGACTCCAGACCGACAGCAATGTGGTTGGCTCTAAACGCCTCTCTGGACAATTAGGGATGGGCAATAAATGCTGGCCTGGCCAGCGATGCCCACATTCTATACGTGAATTAAAAAAGTGCTTTTCAGAGGGTCAGTGCAGACTTCATGGGTTGAATGGCCTCTTTCCACACTGTACGGATTCTATAACCCAAAGAAAACTGTACCGTGGGATAGACCAGGGACAAGATCACTTATTTTATCTCAACATTATGCTCACAGTGACGGGTACCAGACCTATTCTGTCAGCTATTTCTGCTTTTGTCATCACATCGATGTCGGTGTCGTCCAGTAGAATGCGGCCGAGGTCTTGATGGGAGCTCAGCTCGCTCCGCAGTTTGCTGTTTTCAACCTCCAACCTCGCGACGTCTTTCCTCAGGTTAATGATGTCTTCAGCCATCTTCTGCATTGCAGTCCGGTAATTATCCAACTCCTGCCAGAACACACACAGAGTGCATAATCGCAACTTCAATTTCCCGAGAGCATGCTTTCTGACATTAGCAACCAGTGAGTTAATTCACACCCTCACCCACCAGTAAAGTCATAGGTGTGGATAACAGCAGCAAGCCTGACATTTACTGCCCATCTCAAATTCCCTTGCAAGGTGCTGCTGAGCTTTCTTGATTCATTGTAGTCCCTGTGGTGTAGGGACACACACAAGTGCTGTTAGGGAGGAATTTCCAGGATCTGGATCCCAAGACACTGACGGAACAGCGATACCATTCCAAGTGAGGAGCTGAGATACAGCTGGTAATAGGGAGGGCATGTGGAATGTTGATGTTTATTCCTAAAGGAATGGAGTAAAGTAGGGAAGCATTGTTTCAATTGTGCAAGGCATTAATGAAATTGCTTCTGTAGTCCTGCATGCAATTTTGGGCCCCTTACGTGAGGAAGAATGTAACTGTATTGGAGGCAGTTTAAAGGTTCACCAGATAAATTCCAGAGATGAAAGGCTTCTCATAGGCTTCTTATACCCACTAGAGTTTAGAGGAATGAAAGGAGATCTCATTGAGGTAAGTAGGATACTAAAAGGGGATTGACAATGTAGACATAGAGAGGATGTTTCCTCTTGTGGGGCAATCTAGAATGAGAGGCATAGGTGAATTTAGGATATCTGGTTGGCATGGACGAGTTGGACCGAAGGGTCTGTTTCCATGCTGTAACACCTCTATGACTCTATGACTCCTCAGGCACCTGAGAGGAACTTGAAGCCGGGATGGGGAGGGGAACATGACATCTGAGTAGGGGAGAGTGGTAACCTGCGACCTTCCCTTTTGTTTCAGCCAGACTCGGAAACCTTCATTGATGGAATAGAAGGGAGAGATGCAGAGCCCCATGGAGGGGAACACTCAGAGTCTGATTTGTCCCGGGGTGGGGATGGGGTTGGGGTGGGCAAGGGGGGTGGGGTTAGCTCTGTCCATAAAAATAAAGAGACTACATTATCCAGAAGCTCAGAATTTTGCTCCAAGTTAACACATCTCCCACCTTCCCAAACCCTGCCTGCCACCTACAAGTTGCCTGGGACACTCAGTCAGCTCCCTAGTGATTGCCTCACCAGAAAGGCAACACCTCCAACAGTGCAGCATCCCACAGCACAGGCAAAGACCCAAGTCTGTGCACTTTTAACTCAGAAGCAGGGGATTATCACCCGAAACACTGGGACCCTTACAATCACTGGCGACTTGAACCTTTCACCCACTTCTGAACTCTCCTCCCAGAGGAAACAAGTCAATGTTAACACTGGTAACAAGTCAGTGTCTGATCCACTGAACCCATAAACCTTATTGTTAAAAGGATTGTCAGAGTAACACCATCAGTAGTGGGATAGTAGATATCAGGCAATATTAAATAGCTTTCCTCACATGCAACGCACAGGAACAGATAAGCAATCACATCTATGTCCTTGACAAACTTACTCTATCTCAACTGTGACATTGAGCTCCCTGATTTCATGATGTTCTGAGCTTTCTTTGTGCCAAACGTTAATCACGTTGCAATTAAATAAGTTTGCAAACAAAATAAATATCAGAATGTACATTATTGAGTGGCTGTATCAGCCTAACATTATGATTTCATCAACTCTAACGTTGTCAAACTGATCCATGTTAATTGCATGACACTATTTATCAATGGGCAAAAATATTTTTTGTCCTTATTATTGGTCACCATGGTAATTAACATGATCTACATGTTCATTGCCCAGCCTTGCCAGCCCAGTGTTTTGTCCATTTTGTGTTCGCTCTATTCCCATTGCCATTTGGCTCTTCCAGTTCTGTACTTTTTTCTCTCTTTCTCTCAAACATGTTGATTATTTTACAAATTCTAGAGCAAGGTTGAAATGACAGTTGTTTCTAAATGTTAAACAGTTTTATGGACAAGAGTTCTAAAACAACTCTGCAATCGCAAAATGTCTGCAAACATGCTTTCAGCTCAACCATTCGTAGTTTCAGAGGTATTTGTTTCCTTTGCTCTGAGTCCACACCCAGGCTTAAGCAATCAAGGGACCTGGCAAAGGAAATGCTGAAAGGATGTTTCCCCTTGTGGGAGAGTATAGGACCAGAGGGCATAGTCTCAGAACAAAGGGGCGCCAATTTAAGACTGAGATGAGGAGGAATTTCTTCTCTCAGAGGGTTGTGAGTCTTTGGAACTCCTTGCCACAGAGAGCTGTGGAGGCAGAGTCCTTGTGTATATTTAAGGCTGAGATTGACATATTCTTGATCAGTTGAGGAATCAAGAGTTATTTTCAAGAATGTGGCTGTGAGGAATGTCGGATCAGCCGTGATCCTATTGAATGGCGGAGTAAGCTGGAGGACAGACTCCTGTTCCTATTTCTTGTGGTCGAAGCACAGTGAGCATAGAACAGTTAGCAGACTCTAAATTAAAACCAGATCGACACTAAAAGTGTAATAGCTCCTGCCCATGGAGATTCACAACAAACTCCTCACCATTCTGTCACTTACAAACACACTGCAAGTTCTGCAGTTCAAACTGCTCTCTCCTACCAAGGCTCTCTCCATCCTACCCACAGTGCAAGAACAGTGAAGGCACAGGTTTTACTGTAATCTGCTGTTGGGTTCAACACTGCCATGTCTCTGAGCTGCTATACTAAGTCATAGAGTCATACAGCATGAAAGCAGATCCCTCGGTCCAACTAGACCATGCCAACCAAACTAAACTAGTTCCAAGATGCAGCTTAATTTGGATACGTACAAGATATTGCATTTTGGTAAAACAAACAAGGCAGACTTATACAATTAATGGTAGGGCCCTGGGGAGTGTTGTAGAACAGAGTGACCTGCGGGTTCAGGTACATAATCCTTTGAAATTTGATCACAAGTAGACAGGGTGGTTACGAAAGCATTTAGCATGCTTGCCTTCATTGCTCAGACCTTCGAGGTTAGGAGTTGGGAAATTATGTGGAGGTTGTAAAGGACGTTGGTGAGGTCACTTCTGGAGTACTGTGCCCAGTTCTGGTCTCCGTGTTATAGAAAGGATATTATTAAGCTGGAGAGGGTTCAGAAGAAATTTACCAGGATGCTGTTGGGAATGGGCGGTTTGAGCTATAAAAATAGGCTGGGACTTTTTTTTAACTGCTCTTTATGTGAAGAATTTTGTCCAAAAACAGGCCAATATCAGAACAAGGATGTACAGAGAAGACAATATTCCAGGCTGATTAATTCAGTAAAGCTGATTATATCTGAGAGAAAACATTGTTCTCAAAGTCTCCCTGAAAAACAGACTGCAAATATCCTCAACAACTTGTGGAATCGTTAGCCTGCACTGGAGAAGAAGTACCCATGGAAGTGCCAACCATACCTCACATCTCCAACAAGCTCAGGCGAAGCCAAATACAAATAGCAGATTTGGCCAAAATATTAAAGTGTGCACCTCATCCACCCAGCCACCTCTTCATACATTACCCACCCACCTGGGGCAGGGTGTGTGGGTTCAGTATTGGGCTGCTTAGTCACCTCAGGAGCCACAACTCCAGACAGAAAGGAAGTCATTCTCAGTCCCAAGAGACTGCCAAAGAAGAGGAGAAGATAAATGCAAGTCTTTCTTTTCAGAAAGCCCACATGTTTGCGAGACTGTACTGTCCGTAGGAAGGTTGCGTTCTTGTACGTCAAGGTTGAAATGTGCTGTGTCCTGGTGTAGCACACTGTGTACAGTATTGTGTCAAATAATCAGCAATAATAACAGCACAAGTGATAAGTTTAGCCACAAGTTGTCAAAATGTTGCTGCACTGTCACAAGTATGGTTTTAGAACATTGGGCAACACAAAACCAAGCTTCTATCTGCCCTGATGAGTGCAGAAGTTCTCTTGGCATTGTTCCTAAGAAGAACAAAAGGAGTTTGCCTGGCTAACATTGAACCTTCAACCAACTGTTTATAAATACAAAGCAGATAATCTGCCAGTTAGCTCATTGCTCTTTGTGGGATCTTGCTCTACAAAAGTCAGCTGGCATTTTCCCTGGCTTTCAACAGTGGTCACGCTCATTGGTCTTCTCCATGGCAATAACTCAGCCAATCAGACTCAAATTGCCATCCAATCAGCAGCCATTCCTGCAGCAATATAAATTGTTGAGCGTGTTGGGAATTTGGCATTCTTGCATTTGTCCTGATGAGTGTGCGGCTAAAACTTTCGGAAACGTGTTTCTTTTCTCAGCCGTGCATTCGTGGTCTGTGCAGTGTGCCCTGGGAATGCGCTGAAGTTGTGAAAGGTGCTACGTAAATGAAGCCTTTCTTTCCATCAATATTCAGAGGAGGTTCGCGAGTGAGGAGGTTTTCAAGGAGCGTGCACAATGTAGGGAAGGAGGTAGAAAGAAGAGGAATTCCTGAGAAAGGGAATTCCAGAGAGTGATGCTGAAGTCACAGCCGCCTGAAGAATGAATAGGAAGTAAGTGCACAGAAAGTACAGGGGAAGTAACACAAGTGGACATATGGTCACTGCGCTGAGGAGGTTGTAGAAGGATTTAAAATACAGAGAGCTGACAAAAAAGATAATTACACACTTTGCCTCCATTTTCCAAGAATGCTGCATCGAACTGAAAAGTTCAGAAGGTCAAGGGTGTTGTAGAATTGTTACAAGCACTGAAGGTCATTCGGCCCATCAAGTCCATGTTGGTTGTCTGTGGTGCAATCCAATCAATCCTATTGCTACCCTCTCCTCCTCCTCCACACCCCCAGCTCTATCGGTCCTAATGCCACTACATGTTAACCTTGTGGTGACTGAAGACTGTGGGAGGATTGGTGTACCTGTGAGACACTCCCAGCCATTAAATAATGGTTAACGTCATCGCTGTAGCGGATGCAATGTGTGTTACTTTTGTTGCTAGTGTAGTCCTTGGTGAGGTCTGAACTCCTCCTCTATCGTAGACCCTTCCACCCCCACATGGCCAGCATTACAAATTTGTGACATGGACTGAAATCCC